TTCTAGGTGTTTTGGTCACTAGGAAGACAGATGGGGCACAAGTTTCATTCCATCACCATCCACGACACAAGAGGTCAGTGATCCAAGCGAGCAGAAAGGATATGCGACGGCAAGAATTTGAATAAAGAAGATGTATTCTAGAAGAACGGCAACATTCTGAAGAATATTCTGCGAGCTATAATACGATGCAAGCAGAAGCAAGACAGGGTAGGTATTGTACCAGCCGGATTTATCTTCCTTTCTTATATTTCAGAGGGAACGAAACTGATTGTAAGGCGCTTAAAGAAGAACGATATCGTTTATCTTCCGATAGCTAAAGATAAAGTAACTGCATTAAAGGTAGCGAGAATCTAGCCAGAGCCGAATAATTACTACTTAAATGACTACCAAATGTTGACAAGAGAGGCCATGGAGATCCATCGGCATAGGAACAACATGAATAGAGAAGAGGACTGGGAGCATAGCCGCGTATGGAAAATGGTAATTAACTCGACGAAGTCTTCTCTCCCCAGACTTTCAAGCAAATATTTTCTTTTATGAATTGGTTCATCTTATTCTGGTTCTTCTTCCTTGTCTTCACTTTGATTTAAACGTTTTTAATTGGAGGGTTTTGTTTTATAGGTCTTTTAAGTCTTTTAGTAGCTTATGTAAGATATTAATCAGTATGATTACCATAAATTTAAATACAATCGTTATTTATTTCGTACAGCTCAATACTTGCAAAAATCCGAAATTACGTTTCTTTTTGGGGCAAGATAGTTTGAAAATGAAATATTTGACAATTTATTATTATTATGGCTCTGCACTACATATTTATTTTAATTTCTATTTAATTAAATTGTTGTTTTGAAATACATTAATCAGTATGTTTAGTAAAACCCCATCAAGATTGTTCTAGTTTTTTTGATATGAAGTAAACATTTAGGATTAATCTAAATATAATAAAAATTATTAAAGTAAAAAAAGTAAACATTTTTATTTGAAAACCATGTACATACCATATGCATAAGATGTTAATTCATGCCGAGGTTTTCTTGGTTAGGGTCTCATTATGACGTAATGTTAGGGTATCTAGAATTTGGGAATATATCTTAATCTGAATGCAGCAATGATTACTTTAAGCATAACTTCATAAGTAGGTACGAAGGTTTTCATGGCAAGTGTTTATTACACTAAAACTAGATGTAACACTACCACTATCACTACAACCAACATTAGACCTAGAACTAGAAACTTTCGGGTTTAGGTTTTGTAGTTCAGATGGTCTAGAAGTTCCCCAATCGCTCAACACACGATAATTAACTTTACCATGGAAATGGAAGTTGCAAACCAATTACCTTTTCTGGGTGTTTTGGTCACTAGGAAGACAGATGGGGCACAAGTTTCATTCCATCACCATCCACGACACAAGAGGTCAGTGATCCAAGCGAGCAGAAAGGATATGCGACGGCAAGAATTTGAATAAAGAAGATGTATTCTAGAAGAACGGATACACTTTGAAGGATATTCCGCGAGCTACAATACGATGCAAGCAGAAGCAATACAGGGTAGGTATTGTACCAGCCGGATTTATCTTCTTTTCTTATATTTCAGATGGAACGGAACTGATTATAAGGCGCTTAAAGAAGAACGATGTCGTTTATCTTCCGATAGCTAAAGATAAACCAACTACATTAAAGGGAGCGAGAATCTAGCCAGACCCGAATAATTACTACTTAAATGACTACCAAATGTTGGCAAGAGAGGTCATAGAGATCCATCGGAATAGGAACAACATGAATAGAGAAGAGGACTGGGAACTTAGCCGCGCATGGAAAATGGTAATTAACTCGACGAAGTCTTCTCCCTCCAGACTTGACTAATACAACTTGATAACTAGTAATTTTCCAGAAAGGCTTGTCAAATACTTCCCCAATTATTAACTCTAAACTAGGTGGTTTTTTCAAGCAAATATTTTCTTTTATGGATTGGTTCATCTTATTCTGGTTCTTCTTCCTTGTCTTCACTTTGATTTAAACGTTTTTAATTGGAGGGTTCTGTTTTATAGGTCTTTTAAGTCTTTTAGTAGCTTATGTAAGATAGTAATCAGTATGATTACCATAAATTTAAATACAATAGTTATTTATTTCGTACAGCAATTTTTGTGGCAAGATAGTTTGAAAATGAAATATTTGACAATTTATTATTATTATCTCTGCACTATATATTTATTTTGATTTCTATTTAATTAAATTGTTGTTTTGAAATGCATTAATCAGTATGTTTAGTAAAACCCCATCAAGATTGTTCTAGTTTTTTTGGTATAAAGTAAACATTTAGGATGAATGTAAATATAATAAAAATTATTAAAGTAAAAAAAGTAAACATTTTTATTTGAAAACCATGTACATACCATATACATAAGATGTTAATTCATGCCGAGGTTTTCTTGGTTAGGGTCTCATTATGACGTCAGCCAGCATTCAGAATTTGGGAATATAATCTGAAGGCAGTAATGATTACTTTAAGTATAACTTCATAAGTATGAAGGTTTCCACGGCAAGTGTTTATTACATTAAAACTAGATCTAACACTACCACTATCACTACAACCAACATTAGACCTAGAACTAGAAACTTTCGGGTTTAGCTTTTGTAGTTCAGGTGGTTTAGAAGTTCCCCAATCGCTCAACACACGATAATTAACTTTACCATGGAAATGGAAGTTGCAAAACAATTACCTTTTCTGGGTGTTTTGGTCACTAGGAAGACAGATGGGGAAAGTTTCATTCCATCACCATCCACGACACAAGAGGTCAGTGATCCAAGCGAGCAGAAAGGAAATGCGACGGCAAGAATTTGAATAAAGAAGATACATTCTAGAAGAACGGCAACACTCTGAAGAATATTCCGCGAGCTATAATACGATGCAAGCAGAAGCAAGACAATGTAGGTATTGTACCAGCGGGATTTATCTTACTTTCTTATATTTCAGATGGAACGGAACTGATTGTAAGGCGCTTAAAGAAGAACGATATCGTTTATCTTCCGATAGCTAAAGATAAACTAACTGAATTAAAGGTAGCGAGAATCTAACCAGAGCCGAATAATTACTACTTAAATGACTACCAAATGTTGACAAGAGAGGCTATGGAGATCCATCGGCATAGGAACAACATGAATAGAGAAAAGGACTCAGGATACAGAAATTAACTCCACGAAGTCTTCTCCCCCCAGACTTTCAAGCAAATATGTTCTTTTATGAATTGGTTCATCTTATTCTGGTTGTTCTTCCTTGTCTTCATTTTGATTTAAACGTTTTTAATTGGATGGTTCTGTTTTATAAGTCTTTTAAGTCTTTTAGTAGCTTATGTAAGATATTAATCAGTATGATTACCATAAATTTAAATACAATCGTTATTTATTTCGTACAGCTCAATACTTGCAAAAATCCGAAATTACGTTTCTTTTTGAGACAAGATAGTTTGAAAATGAAATATTTGACAATTTATTATTATTATGGCTCTGCACTATGTATTTATTTTGATTTCTATTTAATTAAATTGTTGTTTTGAAATGCATTAATCAGTATGTTTAGTAAAACCCCATCAAGATTGTTCTAGTTTTTTTGATATAAAATAAACATTTAGGATGAATGTAAATATAATAAAAATTATTAAAGTAAAAAAGTAAACATTTTTATTTGAACACCATGTACATACAAAATATGGGATTTCAAATTTACTTATGAAATAAATTATTCCACAAAAACTAAACGATTTAGTGCCTAAACTAAAATTATTTCGCAAAAGAGTATAACAAAAAAAAGGAAAAAATCTCCACCCCTATTTGGTTTACAAATCAAATCGGTTGTTGAATAATTACAACAACAAACCCTCTAAACACACGTTAGATATAAAAAGAAAATCGTACGCATGATCCGTTTCGTTTAATAAAAATAAAATCAAAAACGACCGACGTTTCAGGGACCCCAGAGTATAAACGCAAATATTTGTATTGTAGGAATAAAAGGAAGGGACCCAATTTGTCCGACTTTGAAGTGGACGACAACCTCGGTAGCTCAAAATCGGAATCTTTCAAAAAAAAGCCGGTGGTGAAGCTTTCGGATTTTTCGTCCTCTTTTAAGTCCTTTTAAACTCTCTACCGCACCCATGACAAACCTTTAGTAGAATTGGTAGAATTTTGGAGTAAACAGGGTGGTCCTTCAAAATGACAACAATTCAAACGGTTACAAATAACAAATCAATTATGAGAAAAGTATTTTAAAATTAGATTTACTTACGTTTGATGATTTTTGATTAAGCTTTTTAAAATAATTGTTTGAGATGTTTTAAGGTTAACTGTTCGTGGTGTTAATGGTAGAGACGTCGCGACGCCCGGAGCTACCAACCTCGAGGAGATGAAAACGCGCCGACGCCGCGGCGTCCCGTGGACAATGGCGTCAGGGGGATCCACCAATCAAGCGTCGTTAGGAGACGTCCAGTGGCGCACGGTTAATGCTTTAGGGACACGCCTCGAACTCAACGAAGAGTTCTTTGTAAAAGCTCCGAGAAGAACTATTTTAAAAAAACACCCTAAATATAGTTTTTTTTTATCTAAAGTTCTTAATACATAAAGAAATTAATTATTAAATTATTAAAAAAAATCTTATTATTTCCAAGATCATTATTACTTTGATATTAATCGAAACATCTTTAAAACAAAAAAAAGCAAAAATTTTGTTTCGATAGTCTTTTTTTAAAACAAAATTAAAAATGAAGTTTTTGTTAGCAATTTGTTTGTATCATCTAATCAAAAAGCTGTTATTATTATTTTCGCTTTCAAGATAAGAAATTTCTATCTCCCCACTTCTCCTCCCGCCAAAAAAAATTTTTTTTGAATAGGAAGGATGTAGTTGGGCGGGTGCAAACTACGGTGCCGCCCTCTATAGCCGCGGCGGATCATGACGAGGACTAAACCCACGGCTCACTGACACTATGCACAAGCCAGTCTTCGGCTCGCTTCGCATGGTAGCACAAGCGATCAACGGTGGCGGTTGTATGCGTCCAACCCCCATGTGTGAGCACGTGTGACACGCAAACCCTTATTTAAAAAATCGTTTCGAAAAATCTCAAAGAACATCGTGTTAATTAACGACGCGAAATCAACCAGAAAAGAACGGGGGAGATTATTTTTATCAAAAACGCGCGAAATACGTTAAAACAATTTTTTTTTAACTGACTATTATTTTATTTTTGTTTTCGGGGTGCTTTTTAAACTAAAAAAAAAAGATTAATGTGTTAGTTTTAGTTTTAGTTTAGTTTTTTGGTGCAACTTTACCAAAATCATCCCTTATTTTACAAACGATTTTAAATTCGAAAAAGGTAAGACACAACAAGTTTTATATTTAATTTAATTAAAGAAATATATATCTTTAATTAGAAACTAAAAAGGAGACTTTAAAGCTCTTTTAATCTTTGACCTCCCTTACATACACACATACAAAAAAGTTAAAAAAAAAACCGTGGACCATTTTCAAAGTTAATGACGTACACGGGGCGCGAGTGCGAAGATCAAACGGTTTTGCGAAAAAGCTTAAAGCTCGCGGGGTCGTGGAGCCGATCGAGGGCACTTGTGTATTCGCGAAGCTTTAAGCCGTCGGCGGTGGGTGCCCACTCGTGTAACGTTAGAGGATGCAGAAGGTCGGGAATAATTGCGCGATTCCTTTGCTGCTTTGGATGGACCGAGGGGGGTGGTCTCCCTTTTTCGACGACGACGCTTTGCACACCGCTAAAGACGCGCTATAAAGGAGAAAAAAAAAGAAAAAGTTTAACAACCGTCGAGGTTCACGACTGTAACGAGTTTTTTTCGATGGTAAAAGGAAAAAGCTTCGCGGTGAGCTTTTTTCTTTCTCGTCACTGACGAAGGAAAAGAAGGTTGTTTGGTGATGAAAAGAGCATTTTATGAACATTTCGTTCTTACTGTTAATGTAAAGGAGGTTATTTTTTTTATATGATAGGGACAAGTTTTAATTTAAATGTTAATTTTTTCGAGTTAATATTTATCATTAGCTTTTAATAGGTTTATTTTATATTAAACATAATTTTGCAGACTAGCTAATCCTCTTTTTTTAAAATAACATTTTTGATTTGAATTGATTTTAATTCATTTTTTGATTAAGTTCGATTTTAAATTTGTTTATAAAAATAAAATTATTTTCGTTACGTTATATAAATGAATCATTTTAACTGAACACTTTTTATGATCAAATTTGAAAAGAACTTTTAAAAAGTAAGATTAAGCTAAACTTAGCTTAGATACAAAATTTATAATGTGTTATAAATTTATAAAAAAAACATCCTACGTTGGTTCGAATTAACCTTTAGAGGACCGGGACCACCACTTAAGTGGTGGTCTATGTTATCAGTCTTTGTATATGATAAATATATCATATGAAGTACATTTTGTATCGATTTTCTTCAGACAATATGTTACCTAAAATCCCGGCCCCCTAAAGGTTAAAAACTTAATCAAAGTACTTTGAAAAAATTTATTTTAAAGAAAATAAGATTGTTAACTTTTAAGTTGAAGTTAAAATTAAAATGTACCTTTTTAAACACTTGGGAGTTAATCTTTGCAATTAAATATTCTTGGTAATTTCGTGGACTTGGTTTCAAAATGCCTCGGGAATGTTATAATTTGAGTCAGAAAATACTAGTTTCTTCCTATTCCTCATCAGAACACCATCTGATTTTTTTTTGTTCCAACTTGCAAATTGTACCAAGATGGTATTTACCCTTTTTTTCTGTTCAATATCTCGTTAACATCTTCACCATGCTCGACGCAATTTAATGAACTTGCTCAGCACCTTTCTATGCCAAAACTTTCTGTAGATTATGAATAGCCCACATCCCTTCAAGTCTATATGAAACTTCATACAATTTTTGCCGTTCATGAAATGTTGCCTAATTGATCTGTTCAATTTTTACGGAGTCAATAGTAGCATTTTGTCTTCTTGAAATTTCGCTGAGAAAATCTTCAATCGAACTAAATTTGGTTAGCCAATCAGATATTTTTTCCGCAATGATCTTACTGCTGTTTGTTCCAAGTTCTTCTTTTTGTTAAATCTGTGCAGAATATAGTTGGTCTTACTATGTACTCAACATTTAAACTAAACAACTTAGGTACTTCTAACTTCTAAGTAACAATGAAACAATAAAAGTTATCTTTTCGTGACAGAGTAATGATCTCAACTATAGGCAACTATAACTTTATGTGGTGACGTTTGCTTTAGCTTAATGGCTGTTTTCTAAACTTCACAGTTAGCTCCAATCTATTTTGACACAAAATTTCGATCTTTGGCCTTATACTGTCCGCATATATTATAAAACAGAATAGGTTCTATCAAATTTCTGACCATCTTAATCGATTTCTGGTAAATATCCCAATGGAGCCTTATCATCTACCAAAGAACATCACAGGTTTCAAATGGATACACTTGATATTCGAGTCATTGACATAGCACAAGAGTTGAATCCCGTAGTTTGTTGAAGATTGACAGTTTGAAGTTTTTCCCAATCAGCCAATAGAGCTGTCTGTTCCACCTAAATTTGATGACCAGAATCATCACGTATGGACAATGGTGCCATTTATATCTGGAGGTCTGCTCGTTTAGCTTTATTTGATGCTGTCAAGAATTGCAATGCTCGCTGTTTGTAGACTCAATGTAAGTAGTGCTATGTCAAATGTGAACGTAACCACAGTATGTCCAGCATATAGTGAATACAGGGTATAACAAAATACGCAGCACAAGCACTTTTGCTTTGATCTCTTTTAAGTCCGAGTATCCAATTTTTTTACTTAACTTTGAAGAGTCTGTCCGAGATGTACGATGGTAACATCCCTACGTATTACTTTGGGAGCAGTGTTTGTTAGTTTGTGTAGCAAGCCTCCGTGCAAAACTTTATCAAAAGATTCTAGGACATTTAGGAGTATGGCCGAGTAGAGTTTCTTTTCTTTTAACGACAGTTCAATGGTCTTGATTACTCAATAACTCTATTGTTGAGTGCTTTTAAGTAATAGTTAGATTTAATATCGTGAAATTATTTTCCTGACTTTGGCAACGTGATAACCTCTGCAACTTTCCAACATCCAGTAGCTCTCTTTGGATTTACTTTTCGATGGTAAAAGGAAAAAGCTTCGCGGCGAGCTTTTTTCTTTCTCGTCACTGACGAAGGAAAAGAAGGTTGTTTGGTGATGAAAAGAGCATTTTATGAACATTTCGTTCTTACTGTTAATGTAAAGGAGGTTATTTTTTTTATATGATAGGGACAAGTTTTAATTTAAATGTTAATTTTTTCTAGTTAATATTTATCATTAGCTTTTAATAGGTTTATTTTATATTAAATATAATTTTGCAGACTAGCTAAAGACTAGCTTAATCGATTTCTGGCAAATATTCTATACTAAGACTACAAAATTTTCATTTAACAAAAAAGTTATTACAACTTCTACTAACCCTATCCTTTAACCTAGAATGTTTCAATTCAACTACATTCTCAACCCGTAAATATCCCTTATCAGCCTTATCATCTACCTCTCAATCTGAGTGTATTTCAATCCAACATTAAAAGGAATCCAAAACTAACTTAATCCATCTTAATTGTATTTCAAATTGTTGAAAAGGATAAAATATCTTAAACTAACCTTCAACCATTTTTAGCAATTCAATCTGAAAATAAAAAATGTTTCAACCCAACTTCATCATCAACTCATAAATATCCCAATTAAGCCTCATTAACCAAAGAATATTACATTTAAAAGAATAAAAGCTATCTTTTTGTGACAGCGTAACGATCTCATAAACGCTCTATCAATTATTATCAACAATACATCTTAGGCAACTATAACTTCCTGTAGTGAAGTTGATGTTTGTTTTAGTTTAATGACTGTTTTCTTAATGATTTTTAAAGATTCGTATTAAATTCTTACTATTTAAAAGTTCATTTTAAAGTTTTCCAACTTCATTAAATAATTCCTAAGAAATTTTTTTCGTTTTCTAATTCACTCCAAACTTTCCAACAAATTACAACGATGTTGATAGATTCTTGATAAATTTTTAGGCAAATTATTCGATTTGTAACAATCGACTTAGAGGACTTCCAACAAACATGTTACTACTTAGAAGGGTTTTTAAAGGCATCTTTAAATGACTCAAGAGAGATTTTTGACAATTTTGTACCCAACAATTTGCCATATTTGTAACTGTTTTCTGGAATTTTTTTAACGATTCCTGATAAATTTCTTAATTCAACTAGCAAAGAAAAGCTTATGCTTTTCCATCATCTTGTAAATGATGTTAATATATCTGTGGTATATTAACCTATTAACATTTATGAACCTCCCTTAACGAAATAATCTATCGAGATACAATATACGGATGGGCAAGATAACCCTAACTGAATTTTTTATGAGACGTTTATGAATGGCTCTCTGAACATACCTACCAGACATAGAGAGCAAGGGAAATAAGAAGGATATAAATCATAGCAAGACACTTAGCGTCTACAAGTATTTTTAATTAAAGTATCAATCTCAGGAAAGGAACCAGATTGATCAAAATACCAAAATGTGATTTAACACAGAATCGCGCTTACTCAAATGTCCAGCTTTTGGTAGCTAATTTAAAGAAACGGTTCGTTACCAAATCAACTCAAATGTCTAACGTGTTGTAACGAAATGTTGCAATGTTACGAATAAACTTAATTAGTTTTACTCATATAGATAAAAATAAGTATATATCACAATATTTTGTGAACGTAGATACATATGGACCAATTACAATCTATACACATAAACCTAGGGTTCCTACTTTGATATTTTCGTAATTTTGCCACGTTGCAAACATGAGAATGCCTTAGCATCCGTAATTTTGGATAGTTGGTGGAACAAGTATTAGAAAGTGCCGTTGAGTAAATCTTAGTGGATTGTCCACAATTACCCCTATTCTACAAGATAGTCGTATAACAATATATAGCGAAGCTGTTCTAACTTGGTATAAAATGTAGCAATTGAATAATGCGAGACCTAATAAATAAAATGAATATAAGCGACATTCCTGCGCATTCAACAAAACTTATTTGCATATTGATTTTGCCAACCGATCCCATTAATTATAATATAATATTATAATTTTCCCAACCTAATCAACATATTATTAATAAAAGCAGTTTCGCATTCACCTCTTGTCTACTTTTCTTTGAACATGAACATCACGTTTCTGTTGTACTTTACAACACATAGTATTCTTTTTGAGGTTGGTAACGAATAATACGTAGCGTTCTATCACTATAGATACAGCTATTCCAATATCTTCATCATCAGAATCAAGTTCCGTTTTTGCGCCACTATTTTTACGTCAATAATTTAATAAAAAGCTGGTTTCTACTACTACCACAAATAGTTACAATCCAAACTTTTTTCGTTTGGATAGAATATATTGTTTGAAAACAAATCTTCCATTCTATAAGATATCCTGAAATGTATGAAATAGTTCGCAGAAATTTGTCTTCATTGCTTTGGGTTCATATTCAAAAGCGTTAATAAGGATTACTGATTCTAAATGATCAAAGAACAGAAACTAAGGCTCGATCTTTGATTCTAATTAAAGATTCCAAGACATTCTAAATATCTTATCATAGTTGTTTAGCAACTATTAAATATAATTACAAAACGGTTTAACATACAAATACCAACAATTTTTTTTAAATATCTTTTATATCTCTATATTTATAACTATCTTTCTTGTGTATTACTAACAGTTATCTAACAATAGATAATCATATCATTGGTATTGGACCAACCAAAATTACTATTGATAGGAATAGCTCAAAAAGTGAATTAGAAAATGTGATTTATTATGGAGCGCACAAACCTATCGAATCCGCGAATTACATTATTAATTGCGTTCGACAAATTTAGTAACAATGGTATTCAACCAAACACACTCAGAGTGCTCTGTTGCAATAAATCGAAAATACTATTGTTTCTATAGTGTAATAAATTTTTTAAATTTACTTCTCGTAAGCTGTACTTTTAATATAACCAAACACCTGTTAAATTAAACATATCTAAAAATTAAGCATTACTACATAATATGTTTATAATCTACAAATTTCCGCTATATTATATAATTAAAAGGGAATAACAAGACAAGAAGCATAGAAAGAATATTTCCAAATCATAAATAAAGTTAAGGTATCTGCCAAGAATAAAATGTCCAAGTTTACGCAAATACTGGAAGCAAGCAGAGTCTTTCTTGCCATAAGATTAATTTTGGAAATATTAGACCCTCCTACGTTTATAACTGTGCTTTGTGAACAACATTAGTAATAGTTAGGTATCAATAAGAAACGAAAAAGAAGGACGTCCTCTTGCAGGGGTTATCACTTTGTTAAGGAATCTTTTCTATATAGTAGAAAAATTATCAAAATGAACAATTGTGGTTAGTTTTCCTTTCTATAGCGTCACAAGTATATCTGAGACATTCACATGGAAATATTACATTGTTTCATTATAGTTGGACCAAAATCTTTTCTGTTTTAATAGCAAGATCACCTGGTTTTCCTCTCTTCAGTCTTCGGACATTGTCGTGGATGTGATGTCTAGCTCTATGAATTTCAGCAAACCGTTTAATTTCCTCCTTAACAGTTCAAATTCGGAGATCTTTATGTATATGGGTATTTCGAACATACCAGGGAGCATTAACTGTGTTTCACAGCATTTTATTCTAGAATATTTGAATACACTTGATATTCGAGTCATTGACATAGCACAAAAGTTGAATCCCGTAATTTGTTGAAGATTGACAGTTTGGAGTTTTTCCCAACCAGCCAATAGAGCTGTCTGTTTCACCTAAATTTGATGACCGGAATCATCTCGTATGGACAATGGTGCCATTTATTTCTGAAGGTCTACTCGTTTAACTTTATTTGGTGCTGCCAAGAATTGCAATGCTCGCAATGTCCAGCATGTAGCAGATACAGGGTAGAGCAATATACGCTGCCTCAATTTTTTGCTTAACTCTGAAGAGTCTGTCCAAGATGTACGATGGTAACATCCCTACGTATTAATTTGGGAGCAATGTTTGTTAGTTTGTGTAGCAAGCCTCCGTGCAAAACTTTATCAAAAGCTTCTAAGACATTTCGGAGTATAGCCGAGCAGACATTCTTTTCTTTTAAGACCAGTCCAATGGTCTTGATTACTCAATGACTCTATTCTTGAGTGCTTTTAAGTAGTAGTTAGATTTAATATCGTGAAGTTGTTTTCCTGACTTTGGCAACGTGATAACCTCTGCAACTTTCCAACATCCAAGAGCTCTTTTTGGATTTAGGTTAGATCTTATCTGATCTGCTACTTCTTTTGGAATAACTGATATAAAGTTATCTGTTCTTTGGTTTTCAATGTTGGTCACTTCTTGATTGTTTTGTCCTAGGTTGAGAATACAAAGCCAGATGTTCAGCAAACATCATTACTTATTGCTTATTGCCTCTGGCATATGATCCAGTGTTGTTTGTAATGGGGGGAACAGAGATTACAGGGATCTTAATCTTCTTGGTTATCTTCTATAGTGAATAATCGGTCTCTTTATATGTTGATAGTTCCTCTAGATATGAGGTCATGGATTCCGCTCTACGATTTTAAAATTCCAAGACCAGAAATAATTTTTTTTAATCCTCTTTGGCTGTTGTTGATTTGTTAAAACTGTAACCTTAGAATCTATCTAAATCCTGAAAACTAATATGTTCAATGTAGATACTCTTAATTTATTTGCTCCCATTGTATGCGAAGTATTTTCGTAAATACAAATATTAATGTAAACGAGGAAGAATGTTATCACAATACATCATAGAACAGACAGGATTTGGGGTTGATATACAAAGTGCTAAAAAATTTTCATCTTGACAAAATCCTATATTCCTTAAAAAAGTTTCTAGCATACCATATATATTACTAAAAAAACATTCTGGCGAAGATATAATTCATTTTTAATTTTTGTCTTCTGCCTCTTCAATGCCAAATTACATTTTTGTCTTCGATAAAAGTATGCAAATAGTTTATGCCCTGCCCAACATTGTCTAAAATAATGTTGATTCAATAATGGTGTATTATGACATGTGTAAGAAGCAAAAGATATATTACCACAAACACTTTGAAATTTATTTTTATGAATCTTTTCTTCAAAGTAGCGCAAATAGTGATTAAATTTTAAGATACTTACCTATCTCTTTCTAATATCAATACTTGTAGTCACTTTTTAATTTCTATCGAATATTAACGCATCTTTCATACCCTCATTAAGGAATTTCTTTTAGATCTTGATGGTGTTTTCTTTGCAAGATAAAATAAGGATTCAAATAAAAATAAGATACAATAAGAAATCAATTAAGGCACAATTATATCTGAAGTAACTTTTAAAGCATTCAAGAATAAATAAACCGAATTTAAAAAACGATAAAATAAGTCTTTAACCCATCCAATAATTAATGATTAAATATATTTACTTAGTCATTTTATTAGGAACCTTCTTTTCAACCTCAACTTTCTATCTCCTATTGTTTCAAGAAGGGGTCTCGAGCAAATGAAGACAAATTTAAAACGTCCACCGGTATCCCATTGTCTTTGATTGCTTCTCGATGATGTCCGGATTGAGAATGACTTCGCGCAACGTGAACCTTTCAAATTCCCGACTGAAATCTATTTGTTTTCAAAAGCTACCAACAAATTTATTTCATCAACATAAACGAAATATAATTTTTTTTACAGATTAATCGTAGAAATTCAGGCTGGGAGCTACTTCCGGTCCAATCCCGTCTACAGGCGGGTTTTCACCCGTCTTATCAGCCGCGAAAACGTTGTCCCTAAGGGACTCCACGTGTGCCGAGGCTTTCTGGAAGATGCCACATAAAGGTAGGATTTGTTGAAATTATATTGTTATCAAAAGATTTTCTTTTAAAATTATTAAACCGCAATCACACCACGATTTCATTTTAAGTTAACCTACCAATCGTTTTCATTTCATTTCATTTCAATTCACTTCATTACAAATTGCGTCGTTGGCACGTGCCAGTTATAAAAAGGCTCAAAAAGAGATCCGGTTAATTGGGGTTGAGTATGGTTTTGATTATAATCTTGATTAAAGACTTGAAGTGGGAGATATAATTTTTTTTGCTTTGAAGATTTTTTTAATGAAATTTTTTATAAAGTAATTTAAATAATAGATTAATAAAAAATTTTCGGTAATTTTCATTTATAATGTTTGAAAGTGTCGACTTTCACGTTTCGCTTCCTCCTCAATTCTCCATGTAATGTTAAGGCTAATGCAATTTGAGCCGGCCGCCACCTAGCGACCATTCCAGGCGTGAGCTCCCTGGTGCCGGTGTCGAATTGAACGGGGACCTCCTCTGTGTAAAGGTCTACCTCCTCTCTCGTTAAGTGGAGATGAAGGACGATGGATTATCTCGAGAACGGGTCATCTTTTAGTGTTCTGAAATTGCAAAATATTCATCACCAAAAATGTTTCGTTAATTTAATGTTTATTTTTGTTTTAAATGTTAAGTTAATCCATATTCGGTGTACTTTGGAAAATTTTAAGTGAGAGGTTTTCTGGTCCATCCGAAGGCCGTAGCGGAGAGCTCTTCCGCTCTGAGAAGCGTAAAATGGAACACAGATTAAATCCTGGGGTACGCACACGTTCACGCCCCTCCCGCCGCGTTCGCCTCGTCGAGGGTTGGAAAAACTCTCGGAAAATGCTTAATGGAAAAGTCGCTCTTGTAAAAATCTAACCCCGACGACCTCGTCGTCAGCATTGCATCTCCACTCTGGCGCGTTAATATATTCACAGGGTTTTAAAAATCTTTCTATTTTTCGCAAAGTGCATTATAGAATAAAATGTTGAAGAGTTTTATAAGTAAACAATTTTTGCCTTTTTTCTCCTCTTCAACAGGGTGGGTTAAGTTAAGTTCTGCATCTCTTTCTGGTTAAAATTTATTCAATTAAAAAAAATATTGTTATCTTTCTTGGTCTTGTACAACAAATCCAAGTACAAGAGGTTCAATGATATATTTACATTGGGCTTAGAGTTATTGTGAGTTTAGAACAACTGATTGTGAGAAGAATCGTTGTTTAAAGCATATTTTGGAAATTACTATGACTTTCTATTCTTCATTCTTGGAGATACATTTGAACAAATTGAAAGCAATTCAGACCCAATAAGATAACCAAAACTATATAATCAAGTACTTTGTTCGATATAGATCGAATCCATAATCTTTTAATTCAAATTGAGAACCATTTATTAATAATTATTGCAATTATACATACACGGAGTGCAATGCGGAAAAGACCTCAATAAAAAAATCACGAATTAGTGCAGTGATTAATCATCTTTATAAGCTATTACTGGGGTCACTTACCTGCGATTGGTCCATATAAGGTAAAGAAACTTGAATAGGTGGGGCCTTCGTTCGGGTTTGAAATGTAAATAATAGATGGAAATGAATTGGGAGTGCTATTTATAATTTTTGTTGCTTTCTGGAGCTTATTTAATATATTGACATTATTGTTTGTCTTTATATTTCTATAATGTCTGGGGAAACTCGGCTAAAACAAATCTTAATAAGGTTCAGGTTTTACAAAACAAAATACTACGCATAGCAGTAGACTCCGAGTGGTATATCTCTAATGATCAACTACACAACGAATTAAAAATTGATAGTATCACAGCCTTTATATCTAAAATGACTTCCCGGTTTCACGAACGCATACAATACACAGAAGTACTACAGCCATACAACCACAGCAAAAAGAACATCCACTGTCGTCTTAAAAGGAAACTACCACAAGACATCTACTTGATTTAAAATACGTTAAATGTTACCATCCAATTTGACTTATGTTTATTATTTTGTAAGTGACGAGGTCCTTTTAGTTATGTAATGTGATATTTATTTAGTATAAGAAAAAGCCTTGTATAGTAATGCTAATTTACTGGTCTGGCAATAAAAGTACTTAAAAAAAAAATATTTCTATAATGATAGCTTCAAGAACAATGTATGCGAACAACATAACTGAACATGAAAAAAACTGGAATGAATAACGAGGAATTGAAGAAATTAAAACACGGAAATGCACCCGAGATAAGATATAAAATCAACAGAAATGATAATTTGTGTCATAGATCAAATGTTATGGATTACAAAATAGTCTTCGACGTGTAAGAGACATACTACATCAAGAAACGTGTCTGACAGTGTCTCTAACAGTACAAAGAGGAATATGAAATAGCCATTCTTCGTACGAGGTCAGAATGCCCTTTCAGTCTAGTATCGATCAGTCGCAAGGTAGGCGAGAGAAATTCAGTAAGAACATGTACCACCTAAAGATTAGCAATATGAGTGACTACCCATAAATTTGCAAACTGATGTGGAAAGAAATTTTTGAGATCAGAAATTCAAAACTGGATGTGACTAACTCATTGACATTCATTGACTATGACAATGCAAGAGGGATTCTGTAATTTTTGATCTTGTTCCATGTAACTTAATTTTATTCCTAAAGGTAAAGGCATCATGATACACAGTTAATGCAACTTAATGAATACTTAATACACTATGTTGATTTATTTTAAATGTCATTACATGTTCATTTCTTGCCCGCATTTAATGATATTCTTGTAAGATATTGTTATGATAACTCATCTATATGTGGACATACAAAATAGTCCAGAAAAGATAGGAGTATACAATACCACATATTTATAATTAAAGAGAGATTTTGAAAATTTGTTTGATAGTGTGGCAAGAAGATATAGATATTCCAAAATAAGAAACATAATAGGAAAAAGAGATGAAAAATAAAGTATTAAATATCTAAAAATTACTAAAATCACTGAAATGTGAATGAATCTGCATGAAATAATTAAGAAATCTAAAATTAGAGCAAACAAATTGTTTGTTGGAAATACAAACATGTAACGCGATGAAATTTTAAAACGCCTATTTGTAGTTTAACAAGATTTAGCATGAAAACAACAATTATGATACAAGCTAAGCAAAAAGAGATGAAGAATAAAACAAGAATAAAAGTTATTAGAACTCGCTTCACATAAGGCGTAAGCTTGTACAAACACTAACCTTTGATGTTAATGTGTAAGAAGTGAAACAAGTGTATGATACAAAGACAATAACTTTAATTAAACAATTCTGTTTAATTTGGCTGCTATTTGCGTGTTGAGGTCATACCGTTTCATATCTAAGAGTCAGGTCAATAAATTTTTTTGTTGCGCTGTACTGCTTCAATTTCTGCATCCTCTTTATGTTTCTAGTATAAAAACACATAAAATTGAGAAAAAATTGATGTAGAATGCATGTAAAGACTGTATCATGGTCTTTACTAATAAACACCAACTTATAATGTGTTATTGCATGCCATTACATTAGCACAACAAAGCACCGATAGCCTATTAAATTCTTATTACCTGTCCATATTAAGCTTAATATATCTCAACAGCTGTTGTATCTACACTGCCGGCTTCTCTTCTAACTTATATTATTCACTTATGTTATGTAATCCATAGAATTGTTCATATGCATTTTACAAGTTGTTAGCACTTATCTATATTTTATAGAATGCTGGCTACAACTTCGGCAAATCTTTCTCTGTTCTGTACCTCTGTTAATAGTGATTGTGAATTTAGGCCTAATCTCCAACGTTCCTTAGCCATGAACACAATTTGCTGTCCAGATCTCTTCTACTTTTATCTTTGCCTTCCATTAAGTGTTAGTGCCATTTTCACGGAGTACTCCAGAGTGCTAAAAGATTTGCGTTTAATTTTGCACGTGACAAGGCAGCGTGCTCTCTTCGAAAAGTCAAATACAGCTCAATATTATCGGCGTACATGTGTACTGACGAGTGACTAACACATTTGGGCAGTTGAGAGGTGAACAGAGTAAATAGTAGCGGAGCTAACGAAGATTCCTGAGGCACACCAGCTTCCACGGTTAAAAAAACTCCTCATCCAATCTCACCACCTGAACTCGGCCAGATAGGAAGCTGTTGATAAGAGACACTGCCGAATCAGATATACCAACGTAATGCAAGAGGGATAACAGCATTTGGTGGTTGACTTTGTTAAAAGCCTTGATGTAATCTAGGAGCACAACCACTTCACTCTGACCATTATCACGAGCCTTGAAGAGATCATCAGTGACGTATAATATGGCCATGGCAGAACTATAACTGGGTCGAAAACCAGAAATGTAACCCAAGTAGCTTGTCTTTCATCTCCAATTGTCGCATCGAGCGGACTCTTAGTTCCTACTTTTACAAATCTGTAATAATATTTCGGTTTGTTAATAATATCCAGCATCCTAGGTGTCTGAATTTGTCAAACTGTTGTATTATTTTGTTGTAGACATGGACACAACCATTGTTCTTGTTTTTTTACTATGTATAACCTAAAGCCAAAACCATCACTCTCTCTTGTAACCGTGGTAATCAGGTTTCGTAGCCCTTCTTGGCTGTTAGTCACTAATACCGTCCGCATATTTTATATTATTCACAAGTCTTCCTTTAACTTTGGAATGTCTTTTCGTAGTACAAGTTGAAAAGAGTTGGTGAGAGTGTCTCTTGGGTATGCTGTTTGCTCCCTGTACAAATTTTTGATAATGTTGATGTCTGATGGGTCTACTCCCCATTCGTAAAGCATGTTTGAGAGCTGCGTGTGCTGTACTTGGTGAAAAGCTTTTTCATACCCTATAAAACATAACTATGGGTAGATGTTGTAATTAATCTCAACATTTTTAAGCACTACATTTAGCCTAAATAGTACCTCTCTAGTACAAGAATAGAAACCAAATTGTTAACTCCCACATATTGATCATATTTTGTATAAGATTCTTAAGGCTATTTTTAAAGCATGCTATTGCAAAAAAGGCTCAGCTAAGTGTCATTTTCCATACACTGTTTGACATCTGATATTCTTAGGAGGATTCGCCCAGCAATCAGTTTTCTTCTAAAATTTTAGTTTCGGATGAGAATTCTTTAAAGTTAAGGTTTAATGGCTCACTGAATACGATAAAAACAGAATAATAAGCATATGGAATAGGAAATGATGTTGATGGTCATAAACCTGTTTTCGTTACATTTATTTTTTATGTCAAAAGTTAACAAACATTTAAATTTCACCAAAAAACAATACTCTAAAATTTGTTTGAATAATATTTAAGACTAATATATGTGCATTGTAAAATTTAGCAACTCTACCATTCATTTTGGAAAACCACTTATCCATTATGCGTTGGTGCGTTAGTGACATTAATAACGGAAATAAAGCAAAAATAAAGACGTCATTCAACAGAGATTATTGCTGGTAAATCTAGTAAACAAAGAATATGCCTAACTAAGCTATATATATATATATGAGCGAAACAATGTATCGATTTTCCAGGTGAAAATGAAATTCTCAATAACAGTTCTTGTACTCAGAAGATTAAGAATTGTATCAATATTCTAAACAAACAGACAGGATCTTTTATACACTTCCACAAATGACAGAACAAGTTGCTAAAGTATTATTCCATATACATCATAAAACATCTTAAACTCTGTAATTTGTGTACTAAATTAACTATGTATTTTTTAGCACTAACAACATGCGATTCTGCTAAATAAACTATACAGCTATTTAAGGTTTTAGAAATTTTTCTAATAATTTAGATATAATAAATTTTGGTTAAAGTGGTTTTGATTAAAGAAAGTTTTTTGTTGGCTATTAATAAAAAAAATAATTACATCCATTAAATCTGTTCTCAACAAAAAAAGAAAATAAATAAAAAGAAATCTGCTCTTTCGACTTCCCCTATAATGGCTTTAGGTTAGGATTTTAGGGTGCCCGCCTAAGAATAACCCCTCAACGGTGAGGATCCGGCGCTATTAAAGGGCAATAAATTTGTAACAGATTTGGAGTACCTTCCATAACAAAACTTAGCACTAAGTATACGAGGCCCGTTAGTACTTGAATGGCTTTGCCGAAGTGGGTTTATACGCTCCCGGGGCCCGCGAGAGAGGATATGTTAGGCAGATAAAAGGGTTTTGAGTGTGTTATAATCCGATGGAACGAACGTGAATGGGGGCCTTACCGGCTTCGTTCTGCCTCTATTTCTCTTGTTAATGTTGTTACGTTGATGCTATTTACGGTTCCACATGTCGGTTTTAGTGAGGGTTAATTTTTTGTTTCAACAAAAATCACAACTTTTTTTTTGACGTGAATGATTTTCCAACAAATTTTTTTTATTAGTTTTCTTTAATTTATTTTCTGTTTATTTCTAGAAGAAGACCTTATGCATCACGCAACGATGGGCCAAAATACAATTTTTGGATGTTCTGCTGCAGGTCATAGTGGTATTAACCAGCTCGGCGGCGTTTATGTAAACGGGAGACCGTTGCCAGATTCGACGCGACAGAAGATCGTAGAATTGGCACATTCGGGAGCGCGACCGTGTGATATCTCGAGAATCCTCCAGGTGTCCAACGGTTGCGTCTCGAAGATCTTGGGCAGGTGAGATAAGATTTTATTGGCAAATTTATGCGAAATTGAAGACGCTTTTTCGATAGGTACTATGAAACCGGCTCGATCAAACCTAGAGCAATCGGAGGTTCAAAACCTCGAGTGGCCACACAACCGGTCGTCCAGAAAATTGCCGAATTTAAACGGGAATGTCCTTCGATTTTCGCCTGGGAGATTCGTGATAGATTATTATCAGAAGGAGTGTGCAATAATGACAATATTCCAAGTGTAAGTTTTTTTTTTTTAATTTTCTGCACATTTATTTTTTTACAAAGAATGCCCATAAATTTTGATACAAAAAAAGCAATTACTGCTACCCAGTTTCGGAAAGATTGAAAGAATGCGCGAAATAGGGTAGGGGAGTTTGGGGTCGGAGTGAAAAGTAGATAGATGGAGATGGAGAAAAGCGACTCTACCGGGATCCCCACGAGCTCCTCTCGTTTTCCTTTAATAAATCCCGAAATAAGAGATATAATGCGCTTGCGTGCACGCTCCATCGATTCTGCGGTACGCAATGCGTAAAAGCCGCCCCTTTCGTAAGTCTCCAGGAGGCGGCAAGTTCTGTTAGATTAAAAAGAGGAGGTCGGACCTTTTAGTAACGACGGAAAATGGCGGTCCGAACCGTCTCGTTTTTGTTTCACATTGGATAAATGTTCTCATTAGGTTTTATGATTACGATTATGTTCGAATGGGGTGGGTTTAGAAAAACCCTTCAAAACGCTTTGTATCTTCAGCATCTAGTTTCTAGAGATGATAAAATATTCGTGAAAGAATTTTTTGTGTTGGACAAAAAACTTTTGGGTAGTTATTTGAAGATAATATTTGCTGAATTTGTGGTATATCTAAAATTTAACATTATTAGATGATGGTCTTATTCGTTTTTATGACTATCATTACGTTTAAATGAGAAAAAAAGGATTTTCTAATCAGCTTTTAACTTTTGTTGTTCACAAAAGTGATAATATAAATACTGAGTAGAAGACTTTTTCGATTGAATTTGACTAATTAGAATGTCTCAATTGGGAATTTTTTACTAATAAATCTTTCACAGTTTAGCTACGATTGGACAACTTTAAGTTAAAAGTAATCCCAACACAAAATTTTTAGGAATTCAAAAATTATAATTTAGTTAATGTAAGTAGTTAAAGTAATAAATGATTGAATTATTAGAGTCTAAAGCAAATGTTGCTGTTATTATGTCTTTTGTACTTACGGTATCTGGGAGATGCTGGATGCATGAGATGTTACACAAATGTTATACGAAGAAATCTTTATGTTTGGAGATCTTTTTAGTTATTGATAAGATTGTTTGTGATTGGGACGAAGCTTTTTTTAAATGCGATGTTATTTACCAACCATGTTATTTGCCATCCAGTGATAGCTCTTTGATGCACAAAGTCTATTACGGTTGCAGGAGAGGAAATATCTTGACACTCAAACATAAGCCGCTGTGCATAGAAACAGTTATCAGACATTTCTATCATTTCGCAAAAAGGATAGGACACGTGGTATACGACAGCCAGTTATGGATTTTATGATCAAAATGAATTTCGTTTGTTCATAGATCTTCAACTACATATTAAGGCTATTCCAAAGTATTCCTTCTATATCCATTGTGAGTCCACAGGATATAACATAGTATGTAGTACAGGATATAACTTTGTCTTAATCCTCGACCATAGTGGTACAGAAAGCAGAAATCAAAGCTATATTTGTTGGATCTGATATTCGAAATTAATGGACAGTGAGAACTTCACAAAATGTTCTTCAAAAAATTCAAGATATTGTTTGCAGCTTTCTCGTAAAGCACAAATATCCGGATTGGAGATTTAATGCCTCTCAAGATTCATTTCTTAAATTCCTATCCCCATTTGTATCCTGATAACTGATGCTATAATCAAGGAAACAATTTCAAGCATTATAACTCTTTTTATCTGCAGCTTTAAATTTTATTAGGTGGAAAAAATGCACAGAAGAAAACCTTAATTAATTTGCTATCACGCTTTTGACATCAAGTGTAAATTTAGAAAACTAACAGTTTGTTTGCAATCTTGGTTACTATTTTGCTAGAAAATTGCTAGAATATTTGGTACAATTTCACAAATTACAGACGTCATAGAGAAAGCGCTCGAAGAAAGACAAGTTTTCTCTGCAGTGTTTCTAGATAAGCTGACAAAACTTAAAGAGTCTGTTCCTAAAACAGATTCTTTAGGTTTAAACAAGAGGGTCCATATAGAGACTTAAAGAAAGTGTAAGCAGAATTACCTCAAGAAAGTTTCCTTGGACTTCTTCTTTATGTCTTGTATACCAGCGATATACCAAATCTACACCAGATAACGCTGGCGATGATCACAGATGATACAGCATTGTTCGCAGTGGGTTCAGACGTGACAGCTTCCAGCTAAGTATTTCAGACAGCCAGCGATAGTAGGGAGTGGACCAAAAATTAAACATAAGAATGAATCAAAATCGCTTGATGCTAAGATAATGTAGAAGGTTCATGTTAAAATGATGTTAAAACAAGAAGAAGACAAAAAACATTATCCCTATCTATGTATAAGAAAACTATGGTATACAATCAGATCTTAAAACACATACCCGATACAGACAGTTAAAAGTAAATGCGTGCCATGGTAAATACCCCATAGTATATAAGGAATAATAATATATCCAGAGACCTAAATACCCCAACTATCAAGTAAGAAATCAAAAGCTGTGCTCAACGAAGAATGACTTCACCTAGATGAGAATGTTATTTAATCGAATCTACACCTACATTCATTCTCGATGATTACATTGCATGATTTGCTTCTATGATTAATATCATCAAAAATTCCACGTAAAACTTTCCATAGTTAAGCCCAAAGTCACAATTTTGTGTCCTTTTAAGATCATAAAATGTACGCAATGACCTACAGAATATTACAAATATTCTGTAGATAGAAATAATTTTCACTATATTTCATACCTCCTTTTGCTCCATATACGTTAAAACTTTTCCTTATTTCATTTAGACTGAAGTCTCTCTATCTATTTAGTTTATATGTAAACAATTTGAAAACAACATACTTTCAACGTTTCTTTTTGTAGTAACCTGCAGTAATTCAATACTTAGTGTCATATACACACGAATTCTTTTGAGTTATATGCCATATACAATTAAATATTAAAATTTGATTTGAACATGTTGTTGTAGATTAATATGCAACTGAAAAATCATTTGCTTTATGTCGTTAGATATCGTTAAGACAGTACAGGCTTTTTACAAAAGGATTAGCAAGTTGTAGAAAACGCTTTGTTTCTGCTTTTCTTTGATGAAGTTCTCTTTTGGCAATTAAGAGAAATTTAGCTGTATCATTTCAGCCGTATTTATTACAACCGTCATTTTGTCGCAAGTGTTGTTCTTGACTTTTCAAACTTCGGGGCATTCTTTTTTAAAAATCTTTTCTAGAATTTATCATCTACAGCTAGTTATGGTGCTTGTTTTTGAAGTACATATATAAATGATGTATAATCAAGGTATAAGTAAGTATTGCAAACTTTAACTTTGCGATGAAAAGACTGTTACTTATTAGGTAACTGCTTTGAGATTATCTAAACAGACTACGAAATTCGGTAGTGAATTGCAGCAGTTTCTCTTTGAGGAATCAAAGTTTTGAGAGATAGCGCTGGTAAGAGCACTTAAATATTACCTAATCGTCGATATCTCACCTTGGAAGATATAAGTCTTATTTGTCTGTGCCATTATGATTTGTAACTTGCACAAAAATAACTTCAAGTATCAAGACACAAAACTACACATGGAAAGTACGAAAATATACTGGTGTTTTAAATTACATGTAAACAAAGATTGACTACAAACATATCAGAACTACCATTCTAATACACTCATTTCAATCCATCTCTTGACATCAACTAGAACTGAACTAAAACGTCTTTGAATTAACATTTTTTTCAGTTATTGGCTTAGAAACTTTAACTTTTTAATACCTTTTCAATTTTTGAAGGCACCTAAGATACCTGAGACAATATATCCTACTCATTCAAGTGATTTTAATTCGGTATCTATCCTCTCCATTTGATCTAAAGTACTTGGTCCATGCTGAAGTGGTGCTAAGGAGTTCAAATTAACGTCATTCTCCGCAATTTTTGTTGTTCTTGAATTCTTCTTCATATAGACTATGTTGAAGCTGGTTTTCAGGATCTTGCTATTATTCTGATTTATAATTTTTGATTTAGGGAGATTACGCCATATTACAACTACTATTTCAAAGTGACCATTAATAATAACTGTATTTTCTTAATAAAATTTCAATACGTAGCAAACTTGAGGAGGAGATTTTTATATTATCATATATATCTTATCCAACCAAAAACAAAATTTTTCATATATGCGATGAAATTATCTTAGAAAATTTAAATAGAAAAATCGATTTATTTTAAATATGATATTCTAGAGATTGTAGAGAAATTTTTACGTCGATGTCCGGTGGAGAGAGCGGAACTTAAAGGGGGTGAAAAATACGCCAATAGGGTAAATATCTCGCCATCGCGTTCCCTCGAACGACGGGGATTCCATCGCCCTTTCTCTGTTTGCTCCCTCTCTCTGGGCGCCGCCACGTCCACCATTTCTGTAATCTCTATCTATTTTTATAATCCCCTCGGCTACGTTCCAGCACACCCCTCGGAAATGGTTGCCACGGTAACCCAACCCCTCACATGCCGACGGCAGAGGAACCGTATTTCCCTCCCGTGTGTACACCAACCAACCCCAAAACCCTACCCCCCTTCGACGTTGTTCACCTGATTTTTTAGTTTATTAATGATTTCGTACTTGCGCAATGACAAATAGAACAACATTTCAAAAGAAAACTCAATTCTTTTTGTTATATTTTCATTTCGGTTTCGTTTGAAATATGATCCTTCTCTAAACTAATTGGATATAAAAGTTTCAAAAGAGTTAAAAGTGTATAAGCCGGCTCTGTGAATAACGTTATTGTGCAAGTAAGTTGTACGGATTTAAGCGTAGGATTTTGGTCTGGTGACGGAGGGGTGGTTGGTAGAAGGAGAAAGGGGTTTAAAACGGCTCGGATACGTTTACCTGGTGGAACATCGTCGGAGTGTAAACGTTGGCAGATCTTGTAGCTAATAGAGTTTGCGGAGCGTTGACATACGACACGTTACACAAACAGACCGCGTGCTCTTCACGCCCTCTGGGCCACGTCGAG